CCCCCCCCCCCCCCCGCAGTATGCTCAGGAAGAAGTTGAGCTTGACAAAATATGAAAATTCAGGATCTTTTAATATGCTAAAGAATAAGACTTCATTATCTGAAAAGTTAAATCTATATCTGCAAGAATACGAGTAATAGTGGTTGTTAACACAGAAGCATAAAAAATGTAAGTGGGCAATAACTTTAAAAAAAATAAAGCTATTTGTAAAGAAGTAGCTCCATTTTGTCCTTCCAGGAAAATAGTTGACAGTATTTTGGAATTGTCAAGGCGATTGTGTTAGGTTAGGGCATAAATATGTTCCTTTCTATTATAAAAATAGCATGCCATATAAACAAGTCATGGTTCTGAAATAGTAGAAGAGCGTGTCCCCACTACTTGCTCATCTTTCAAGATTCAGTTGAAAGTAAACTCTTACATCATTTTGTGTCCAAATTAACCAGGCTTTCTTTAAGACTTCTGCTGTTCTTAAGTGCCCTTGAGATGGTCCTGACACAGAGTAACCCCGTATAGGGCTTCAGAGGAGCGGCTGATGGATTAAAACCACCACCTTTGCAGTTGACCATCTAGGGCATATCCTAGGTGCTACACCAGGACTTCTGTAGTATTTTATATCTTTATATATTTGATAATATATTATCTCAAATATATTACAGCTTTATGTTTTACCTTATCTTTAGGACTATTTCCTCCGTTATAAAATGAGCACCTTGGATTCCCAGTTTTTCCTACTATTTTTGTATCCTTTACTCCTAGAATACCAAAGCTACTTTCCTGGAGTCGATTCTGATTCATAGTGATCCTAGAGAGCACAGTAGAACTGCCCGATAGTGTGTCCAAAGTTATAAATATTTAAGGAACCAGATTTCCACATCTTTCTCCCAGAATGCATAACCCCTGCACCACCTGGGCTCCTCCTTCTGAGAATGGTAATTGATAAAAAGCACTGAATACTTCCTTAACAAGTAAATGAACAAATGTGTGTTATGAAAAAGAATCATTTCCAAAGACAGCCTTGATAACAAGTATAAATATTTTTCTACCAACCACAAATCCAAATCAAACTCTTGCCGTAGAGTCATTCCAACTCATGACGACCAGACAGGATAGAGTAGAACTGCCTACTAGGGTTTCTGAGCCTGTAATCTTTAATTACAGAATGACACACAAATTCGTGAGGAGTTCCATATTTATTTTTGGAGTCCTGGTGTGAAGATGTGAGCTAATGCCCTTGACTGCAAAGTCTGTTTGAGCCTTAAGGTTGGCGGTTCAAGCTCACCAGTCGCTCCTGGAAAACCCTATGCAGGGTCGCTATGGGTTGGAACTGACTTGACAGCCCTTAACAACAACAATCTTTAATTATCGCAGATTGTCACATAGTTCTCCAGTGGAGCGACTTTTTAGTTGTTCATGGAGCCAGTGCTAATAATTCACCATTCATTTTGGTTAAATTGTATAATAAAAAAATTACACCTTCTGTGCCAATAGTTTAGAATCACGTTCTACAAAGGAACCAATTTTTAGGGCTCTAGGAAATTACTTCCACGATGCTGTTGTTGTTGTTAGGTGCCATAGAGTCGGTACCGACTGATAGCGACCCTATGCACAACAGAAGGAAACACTGCCAGATCCCGGGCCAACCTCACAATTCTTGCCCCGCTTGAGCCCACTGATGCTGCCACTTTGCCAAACCATCTCGCTGGGGGGCTTCCTCTTTTTCTCTGACCCTCCACCTTACCAAATATGATATCCTTTTTCAGCAACTGCTTCCTCCTGACAATAACTCTGAAGTATGAGAGACGAAGTTTGGCCATCCTGGCCTCCAAGGAGCACTCTGGCTTCACTTCTTCCACCGCAGATCTGTTGGTTTTTTTGTCATCCCATGTCTCTTTCAGTATTCTCTTCCAACATCATAATTCAAAAGCATCAATTCTTCTACGGTCTTCCTTATTCACTGTCCAATTTTCACATGCATATGAGGTTATTGAAAATATCATGGCTTGGGTCAGGCGCACCTTAGTCCTCAAGCTGACATCTTTGCTTTTCAACACTTTAAAAAGGTTTTGCGCAACAGATTTGCCTAATGCAATACTTTCACGATAGTGAATGATTTAACACTGGGCTTTGTCTTTCTTAGGTGTTTTCCCCACTATTCTGATTCAATGTCATGTATCAGAACACCTAAATTTTCGGTACCACCGGTGACAAGAGAAGAAACTCTCCGGGAAGGGGCCCGATGCAAAGGCTGGGAGTCCTGGTGTGGTGCTGTGGGTTAGTGCGAGGGACTGCAAAAGTCGCTTTGAACTGCACAGTCGGTGGTTCAAGCTCACCAGCTGCTTCTCCAAAACCCTATATAGGGTCGCTGTGGGTCGGAACAGACTTGACGACACTTAACAAAAACAACACCAGCTGCTACAAAGGCCAGCCGCTGGCCAGACCTCCCCGCTCAGCTCTCAGCTCCCTAGGGCGGAACTTAAAAGGTTGCGGGGGAGAGCGCTTATTTCGCGCACGCGCGGGCTGCCAATCCGGTTTGGCTGGCCTCTGGGAGTGTGGTGTGCGCGGCTGAACCAGGCCTAGGTCCGGTGAGGCGCAGTTTCCAGCCACTTCTCGTCTCACACGCGGAATGCTGCTTCTAGCGTTCGGCGGCCCGTGGGCAGCCAGGCTGCGCCTTTGCGGGAAGAGGGCGGCGCCGTGGGCCTCAGACGGGTTCCAAAACACCAGGGCGGCTGTTTCCTGGCTGGCCGCCTCCAGCGGTTCCTCGGGGCAGGTCGGCAGCGGTCGCGTAGGGCTGCGGGGAGGCGCGCTGCCTCTCCGGCCTCAGGGACGAGCGCAGGTCAGCCGTCTCAGGAATCGCTCGCCGGTGTGGGGGTGAGGGCGGGAGGGAGGCGGAGCACCGCTTTCTGCGATCGCACTCCCCGCCTGGTTCCAGTGCTGCGGAAGGAACTTTGCAGCTCTCCGCTAGGCCTCGAGCTCGCCTGAGGTCCCGGGGTTCGCAGCCCCATCGATTTTAGGTCTCCAAGGTGGTTTTAAATAGTGTAGACTCATATTGACTCAGTTTATTACCCATTCGGCTCCTACTTATAATGTTAAGTGCAGCTGACCCTGTATAAAGTTCTCGAGAAGCAGCTGGTGGGTTTGAATTGCCGGCCTCGTGGTTCACAGTCCAGTGCTGATCCTACAGCGCCACACCACGAGTCTACTTATAATCGTGTATTGGTGAGCGATTGGTGGGTTCGAACTGCTGACCTTGGTGTTAGCAGTCCATTGCATATCCTACAGCGCCATATCAGGACTCCTTGGGGAGGGTTAATTTGCAAAAGGTAGAACTACCCCATAGGGCTTGGCGCTGTACAATAAACTCTGGACCACAAAGACGGTATGATCTATGAGGTTGGCGGTTCAAATCTGGGAAAACGTATTCAGCCTCACTGTGAGTTAGAACTGACTCTACAGTACTAAACAACAGCCTTTACAGAAGCCGACTTGCACATTTTTATCTTGCCCACAAGTAGATGTTGTTAAGTGCTGTTGAATCGGTTCTGATTCGTTGCAGCCCTGTGTAGGGTTTTCAAAGAGCAGCTGGTGGGTTTGAACTGTCCACCTTTTAGTTAGCAGTCAAGTGTTTATCCTAGACCGCTACATCAGGACTCGAGCAAGTAGAAGTTATTATTGTTAGGTGCTGTCAAGTCAATTCCTACCCATAGTGAGTGACCCTGTACAGGGCTTCCAAGGAGCAGCTGGTAGGTTTGAAACTCTGACTTTGAGGCTCAAATTGACCTTGCAGTCCAGCGCATTATCCTGATTGCCAGGAGGTAGTGCGTAGGAAATGTGGACCTTTCTTTAGTAGCCAAGCACTTAACCACTACTTCACCAGGGTTTCTTTGTTTTTTATTAAGTACCTTTGAGCTGGTTCAGACTCAGAGTGAGTGACCCTGTATTGGGTTCCCAAGGAGGGCTGGCAAGTTTGAACCACCGACCTTGCGGTTAGCACTCTAGTACTTATCTTATATACCAGAATTCCAAAATGGGATTGTTAAGTGTCTTTGAGTCAGTTACACTCATAGCCTCCCTGTATAGAGTTTCCAAGGAGCAGCTGGTGCGTTTGAACCACTCACCCTGTGTATTTTAGCCTGAAGGAATTAGCCATGCTATTTACATTTTGAACTGTTTGTGCTGTGAGATTCATTTTCAGATTATAATTTACTGAAATTTGATCCAGGAATCTCAAAATTTTTCCCCTAATGAATTAAGAAAAGCAGTATTTGCAAAATCTGTAAAAAAAAATTGTTGCTCTTATTTTAAAAACACCAGCAACACTAACTATAGTATAATTTTAGAACTATACTAGACTTTGATGATGCTGTTTGCAGTGTTTTATGTTATTGTATTGAAATGAAATTTATATTTTGAAGAGATAGTTCACTTAAACAATTGTATGAAAGCTGTGTTTTTATTTAACAGTGGAATAGAAGACTATTTCATGAATTATTAATTTACTTAAGATTGGTGGTGGTGGTGATGTGCCGTGGAGTCGGTTCTGACTCACAGCGACCCTGTACGGGGTTTCCCAGGCTGTAAATCTTTATGGGAGCAGAAAGCCTCATCTTTCTCCCGTGGAACAGCTGGTAGTATTGAACTGCTGACCTTGTGGTGCACAGCCCAAGTCGTAACCACTACACTACCAGAGCTCCTTTACTTAAGTTTACGTTAGACATAAAAAGCTGAGGAGCTGGGATTCAAACCCATGTCTTCAAACTCCAATTCAGCATTTTTCCATTTGTGAAAGGAATTAAAAAAAGCCATTCTATTAGTTTGATTTGTTTTGCTCTGTAGATCATTTGAGAGAGTTACTTCTGTCACTTCATATGATAGCTTGTCTTCTATTCTGCATTACATTAAACAAATTAAAAAATAATTTCAAAGTTTAAAATGCAAACTGTTATGTACATACTCACATTATAATGGTCTCTGTTTCAATAGATACTTGTTTGTTGGGAAAGATATGTCAGATGCTTACATACACAACTTGAAAAATCAGAAGATGGAAGACTGATTTATACTGGGAATCAAGCCCGAACAGTATTTGGTGGGTAATCAGAAGTAGGGGTACCTACTTTTTTTTAATTGTAAAAAATACACTTAGCATATATTACCTACATTTGTTGTTGTTGTTAAGTGCCGTCGAGTCTGTTCTGACCCATAGCAACCCTGTATAGGGTTTCCGAGGAGCAGCTGGTGTGCTTGAACCACCAACCTTGTGGTTCAAACTGACTTCACAGTCCAGTGCATTAACCTACAGTGCCACAGTAATTATGAGGTTTATCAACAGCAACAATTACAAGGCATTAGAAAAAAATTAGATTACAATTTCTTTTTCATAGAGGCCTGCTAGTAAAATGTAGAGATTGAGGCTTTGGTATTTTTTAGAGGTTTGAAAAGGGAGGCCTTATTCAAACTTTGTGAGCTTATGCTTCGGCATTCACATAGATAACATAAATTTACTAATACCTTACAAGTTGATCTCTCTCTTGGAATGTTAAACAAAATTATATATTTTTATAATGTTTGAATATATAGAGAAAATAGTATGAATGAATACGTGTTAAGAGTAGTTATTTTTGGGAAGTAGCATAATGGAGTAAAATGAAATGTATTTTTATAATTAAAAGAATATGGTTTATATGTTTTTATGATAATCTTAGATTTTTCAGTAAACATTTATTGACTTTTCCAGGTGACAGTTAGACCATGGTGAAGAAAGACAGTGTATACCTCCAAGTTTAAAAGACTTTTCTTAGATTATAATTTGATATTTAGTAGGAATAATTTAGTAAGGAGGGTCATTACAATTTAGTGAGAGATGTATGATTTGTTAATCCCTGAGGGTGTATAACCTGAAACATACCAAGTATAACCTGAAAAATAGGGAGGATTACTTTATAATCAAATATGACCACAAGGTTTCAGCACGTACATTTACATTTGTGTTTCTAATCATGCTGGTGTTAGCAGTCATCTAAAATTTATTCTGGAAGTCTGTAAACTCTCAAATTGGTGTCATTAAAATAAAGTATGATTAAAGTACAATTTTAGCTAATTTAAAACTTTTTAAGCATAATGACTTGTAATCCACATTAAACAGAGTTTGATGTTATTGGAATAATCCATTTTGGTTGATTAGAAATGTCTTCAGAAGACAATTCATAAGTAGATTATTGGAGCCTGGTTTCCCAGAACAGTCCTGGGATACCTGGATTTATGCCATTGAGATGTGTTTTTCACTCCCACTGTACCCTTCTTTCTGAATACAGACCATTCCTTCAAAAGCAGGGAAAGTTTATTAATTCTTTTCCTCTCTTGACTCCATTCTGGAAAAAAAGAAATATAAATCTAAAGAATTCAATATAATTTTGATGTAATATTTATATAATATACATAACTATCTGTGTAATATTTATTACATATGTATATAATATTTGTAGTAGAATATAGTGATTCATGGTATTCAAAATTCCTTAATTTTAACTTAGAGAGGAATTTAATGTTTGAGCTCTTTCAATATTTGGAGTAACAGAAAATCATTCTATGTCAGGTATTGTTATTGTTAAGTGCCATCTATGAGTCAGAACCAACTCAACAGCACTTAACAACAACAACAATTAGGGAGAGAAAGTGATAGAACATAAAGGGCCTCATCAATATGGCAGTTCATCATTTTAAGATGAGGAGAATTTGAACATGAAGAGAAGTTAAAGTGGACCATGCCAGACACAGAAGTAGTATGAGCAAAGTCGGAAAGGTGAGGAAGCCCCAAATATGTTTAGAAAAGAGCATTTACTTAGCTGTAGTACTTAAAGTATATGTGTGTATTAAATTCTGAGAGCTGTTGTAACAAATTACCACAAACTTGGTGGCTTAGAATAACAAAAATGTATTCTTTCACTGTTCTGGAGGCTAAAAGCCCAAAATCAAGTATCAACAGTGTCATGTTTGCTTTGAAGCCTCTGGAAAAGAATCATTTTTTGCTTCTCGGTCTCTGGTGACTGTGGCAATCCTTGATGTTTCTTGGCTCCTAGCTGCATCTTTCTAGTCTCTGCTCTGAGTTCACTGGCCTCTTTTTCTGACCTTGTCTTTTTTCTTTGCTTTGTAGTCTTTCACTGGATTTAGGGCCCACTCTAATCTGGTTTGATCTCACTTCCATCTTTACTTAATTGCATCTGCAAAGATTCTGTTTCCAGATAAGGTCACATTCTTAGGTTATTGATGAACATAAATTTTGGGAGGGCACTATTTAGCCCACTACAATGTAAAAAGAGTAATGGGGAAAATGGTAGTTTGGAAGGGCAGAGGAGTTCAGTTTTTTAAATAGGAGATAGTTTAGCTTGGTCCCTATTGTATTCCATGTGTACCGGTATCATAGCAACTGTCTAGGAGGAAAGAACAAAATATTTTTAAATTACTGATACAAGATAGAGAATTAAACCTTAAACTTGGAAGCTTCTTTGATTCCCTAACATCTCATATATGAGGTGTCCTGGTGTGGTGCTGTAGGATAAGCACTGGATAGCTAATGATCAGTGGTTCGAACTCACCAGCTGCTCCTTGGAAACCCTAGACTGGGTCGTTATGAGTTAGATCTGACTCTACAGTACTTAATAGTAACAACGTCACATATGACGTTGTGGTTGTTTAGTACCGTGGAGTCGGTTCTGACTCATAGTGACCCTGCACAGGGTTTCTGAGGCTGCAAATCTTTACGGGAGCAGAATGCCTCATCTTTCTCCTGTGGAACCACTGGTAGTTTCGAACTGCTGATCTTGAGGTTGGCAGCCCGTTTTGTAACCACTACACTACCAGAGTTCCTTGGTACTTTATAAAATTTGCAGGAAAATACAATAGACAATGAAGTTTTTCCATGAACTTTTCAAAGCTCCATTGTATATTAACCATTTTCCATTAACTTGAATATATTCAAATATACTTTAATGCAACATTTCCTTAAAATAATTTACTTCCTTGTTAAATAGGATTACATTGTAAAATCTTTGCCTGTCTGATTAACAAAGTAGTATGTTGGTTTTATTATTAAAAAACCAGAAAAGTATAAATAGGCAGGGGAAAAAATATCAATAGTTCTACCATTCAGAAGTAGGTATTTTGGCATATTTCTTTCCAGTTCTTTTTCTCTGCATTTTTAAAACCATGTACTAAACATATAAATCTGTATACTGATTGTTTTTTCTAGTCATTGTATCAAAAATGTTTTTCAGTGTTTTAAAAGTTTTTGTATACATCATTATTGATGGTTATATAATATTCTAAGGAACCCTGTTGCTGCTGTAGAATAAGCACTGGACTGCTAACCATAGGTCCATCCACAGGTCAAACCCACCAGTCACTCTGCAGAAAAGAGATGATTCTTGCTGCTCCTCAGAAACCCTGCTCAGGATCACTGTGATCTGGAATTGCCTTGATGACAGTAATTTTATTTTTCCTTTAAATAGATAATATTCTAACATATGTCACTGTTGTTGTTAGATGCCATCTAGTTGGTACTGACTCATAGTGACCTTATGAACAATAGAACAAAACACTGCTTGGTCCTGTGCCAACCTCACAATCATCACTATGTTTGAACACATTGTTGCTGCCACTGTGCCAATCTATCTTGGGTGTCTTCCTCTTTTTCACTGTCTCTCCGCTTTACCAAGTATGATGTCTCCAGTGACTGGCCCCTTCTGATAATATATCTGAAGTATGAGAGACAAAGTCTTGCCATCCTGACTTCTAAGGAGCATTGTTTTTATTATTAAATAATCTGTACTTCTTGCAACACAGATTTGTTATTTTGGTGGTACTTTTAACATTCTCTTCAAACCTTAATACTCAAATGCATCAATTCTTCTACAGTCTTCTTTATTCATTGTCCAACTTTCACATACATATGGGGTTATTGAAAATACCATGCCTTGTGTGAGGTGCATCTTAGTCCTCAGATTGACATCTTTTGCTCTTGAACACTTCAAAGAGGTCTTGTGCAGCATATTTGCATAATGTGCTATGACATTTGATTTCTTGAACTGCTGCTTCCATTAGTGTTCATGGTTGATCCAAGAAAAATGAAGTCTTTGACAATGTCAATCTTTTCTCTGTTTATGTGGATATTATTTATTGGTTCGGTGGTAAGGATTTTTGTTTATTTTTTTTTACATTGAGTTGCAACCCATACCAAAAACTGTGGTCTTTTAAGTATTGTAAGTCTTCTTCACTTTCAGCAAGCAAGGTTGTATCATTTGCATATTACAGGTTGTTAATGAGTCTTGCTCCAATCCTAATGCCACGTTTTTCTTCATACAATTCAGCTTCTTGAATTATTTGCTCAGCATACAGATTGAATAAGTATGGTGAAAGAATATAATCCTGGCACATACCTTTCCTAATTTTAAATCATTCAGTGTTCCCAAGTTCTGTTCAAACAACTGCCTCTTGATCTGTGTACAGGTTCTTCATGAGCACAATTAGGTGTTTGGGAATATTCATTCTCTACAGTGCTGTCCTTAGCTTGTTGTGATGAACACAATTAAAAGCCTTTCTGTAGTCAATAAAATATAGGTAAACATCTTTCTGGTATTCTCTGCTTTCAGCTAAGATCTGGCTGATGTCACCTCTTTTCCTTGTCTTTGTCTGAATCCTGCTTGAACCTCTGGCGGTTTTCTGTCAATGTACTGTTGCAGCAGTTTTTGAATTAATTTTAGCCAAATTTTACTTACAAGTGATATTAATGACATTGTCCAATGCTTTCAGCATTCCGTTGGGCCACCTCTCTTTGGAAGAGGCACAATTATGAATTTGTCCAATCAGTTGGCCAGGGAGCTGTCTTCCAAATTTCTCAGCATAGAAGAGTTAGTGTCTCCAGTGCTGCATCAGTTTGTTGAAAGATTTCAATTTATTTTCCATCAATTTCCAGAACCTTGTTCTTTGCCAGTTCCTTCAGTGCACTGGACTTCTCCCTTCAGTATCATTGGGGGTTTTTTTTTTTTTTTTCCTCCCTAAAGTTTTTATTGTGAATTGAGTGATAGTTTACGT